AAAAAAAAAAAAAAGTGCAGATTTTTTTTGTAGTCTAAGCCCTATGACATACAGACTTTTCCAAAAGATGTCCTGCTGTTTTGTAACGAAGCATCATAATCCTGATTTTTATGTATTATTGGGGTGCCATTTAGAAATTTACAGTACCAATGCAACTAATAATCATATAATTATTTTCCATCAGAAAAGCAGCACATTGTATGAGAAAACATTTTTAAATTACACATTTTCTGTGTGAATAATTGCATTTTTACTTCATCATCTACCTGGTTTTTAGATTAAAGAAAACATAAATTTAAAAAGTCACGTTGTTACTAAGGTAATTACCTCTTTTTTCCTTCTTACTAAGTTCCATACTTTCTGGTACTATTTTAAGTATCTCTTGAGACTGATTATTCCTTGTTTTTTTTAGTTCACCCTTTTTTCCCCTCTAAGGTAAATTGACATGGGATCACTCAGAATTAAAATCACTCAGAATCAAATAGTTCTGTTGTATTTTATTATTGCTGTTTCAACAGGCCTTCGTTGAAAATAATCCTGCCATTAAATGGTGTCCTACTCCAGGCTGTGAAAGAGCAGTCAGACTTACAAAACAAGGGTCAAATACATCTGGGTCTGATACACTCAACTTTCCCTTGCTCAGAGCTCCTGCTGTGGACTGTGGAAAAGGACACCTCTTCTGCTGGTCAGTATAAGACAAGTTGGAATCAGCCTAATCACCTTTCTAACAGTCTTTAAAGAGACTTTGCACCTTGAATTAGGCCTTTGGAGTGTAGTATATTTGACATCATTCTTATTAATTTAAAAAATGTGTGATGAGTAGTCATAGTTTATATTTATTGTGTGCTTGATTTGTACCAAATTTGTATGCCAGATATTTTCACATATTGAATTCTCCCAATAACTCTATGAGTTGAGTGTTATTATTATACCCATTTTATAGATAAAGAAACTTAGGCATAGAGAAGTTTCCCAGGGTTATGCAGCTAAGAAATGGCAGAAATGGGATTAGAGCCCAGCCTTGATTCCAGAGCCCATGCACTTAAACTCTAGTAACAAATTGCTGAGAATAGATTAGAACATGTTTAGAACTTTATACTTGTTTTCTTAAAATTGAAGACTCCGGCAGTGATTCTTTTTTTTAAAGATTTTATTTATTTATTTTGAGAGAGAGAGAATGAGAGAGAACACATGAGAGGGGATAGGGTCAGAGGGCAAAGCAGACTCCCTGCCGAGCAGGGAGCCCGATGCAGGACTCGATCCAGGGACTCCAGGATCATGACCTGAGCCGAAGGCAGTCGCTTAACCAACTGAGCCACCCAGGCACCCTCCGGCAGTGATTCTTAACCATGGATGCCCAGAATTAACTAAGACCCGTTTTCCCAAATTTTGATCATAGGCCCCAACAAGTAAGATTTTGATTTAGTAGGCTTTGGAGTAGGGCCCCCAAAAAGAAGCTTATAGGTGGTTCTAATGCACAGTCCTAGTTAAGAATCACTTTGTGTGTCTTGTGTTTTTTAACTATATGTCTGACATCAGCATTTAACTGTATGTTTGACTATCAGCATTCTGCATTATTCAGAGTAGATTCAATGATAATTAGCTGTTGTTGTTTATTTAGGTAATTAAATGATCAGAAAAAGAAATAATATTTGTTCTCCTTTTTTCTCATTTCCAGATTTATCATGTATGCAAGGGTATGCTTTAGATGAATATAAGACTCTACTTATTTACTTATCAGAAACCAAAGTCAAATTATAGCCCTGCTAAATAGTTTTAAAAAGGCATAGTTACGGAAATATTCCTACCCTGAAAGGTCTATTTCTTACCCTCGTCATCATTATCATTAGCTAAAAATATTTCTTGAATTGCCAGGCTATGTATATCACTGAACTCTCTAGGTCAGGTGTCAGAAAACTACTGTCCCCACCAATTTTTATTGGAACACAGCCACACCCGTTCATGCCAGTTTATTTTCTGTGACTGCTTTCAGGCCATGGCAGCATTACATAGTTCCGACAGAAACCATATGGCCTACAAAACCCAAAAATTTGCCATTTGGTTCTTTACAGAAAAAGTTTGCTAGACTCCTCTGCCAAGTGCTTGAATGAAGTGATTAATGAAAGGAAAATCATATTGGCTACTTTGATGGCTAAATCAGACTCAGCAAGGAAAATAGCAACAGAATATTGAATAATAGATTATATCCACATGCCTTACAGTAATTTTTCAAAACATTTACAAGACAGATTCATAATTTTTAGTTTTACATGTTTTACTATTTGCTGATTGGTTCTTAACTCCACCTCACTACCTCACTAGAAGAGTTCAGGATCCAGCTCAGGAGTGACAAGTGAGTTAATGAATACACATAAGCTTAGTTTTTCATAAATAAATAGTCCTTAGAGGAATATGAACCCACTTTACTATAACATAAGAATACTACAGTAAAAAAAAATAAAGGAGCAAATAAATAAAATCTTTTAAAAAATAAATAAATAAAGGAGCTTCCTCTTTCGAGTTAGTGTGGAGTTTCTTCAAAAACTTAAGCTCATGTGCCCTAAGGTACCCCACTGTGTGCACCCTGTGCATCTAAAATGGTACTAATCAGAGGTGCCTAGGCGGCTCAATCGGTTAAGTGACTGACTTTGGCTCAGGTCACAATCTCAGGGTCCTGGGATGGAGTCCTGTGTCATAGGCTCCATGCTCAGTGGGGAGTCTGCTTGCCCTGTCCCCCCCGCTTGTGCATGCTCTCTCTCTCTCTCTCTCTCTCTCTCTCTCTCTCGTTTTCTCTCAGGTAAAGAAATAAAATCTTTATTTAAAAAAAAGCCTGAAAGGGGGTGCCTGAGTGGCTCAGTCAGTTAAGCATCTGCCTTCCACTCCCGTCATGATCCCGGAGTCCCCAGATCCAGCCCTGCCTGGGGCTCCCTGCTCAGCAGGAAGTCTGCTTCTCCCTCTGCCCTTTACCCTGCATGTACTCTCTCTAGCTCTCTCTCAAATAAATGAATAAAATCTTCAAAAAATAAAAAATAAATTTAAGAAGCCTAAAAAGTAAATAAAATAAAATGGTACTAATCATGTATTATCCTTGGGAAAATTTAGAAAAGTTATCACATAAATCGATTTTTGAGTTCTCTGTTCATGTAAACATCCTGATTGAAAAAGGCTAATTTAAGAGGATTGGTGGAGAAGCTACAAAAATAGAAAATATAAATATAAATTAGTAAAACACTTAGAAGATAAGGAGAAGAAAGCATTTGCTAAGATCAGAGAATAATAAAGTTTTGAAGGGAAAAGAAGAACCTGTGATTAGCATTGTCTTCTTAAGCTCTGTGGTTTCTATGGTCTGGCTTTTACTAGTTTTTACTACAGATGAGCTTTCAATTTTTTTCACTTTTCACTTATTACTATAAGGCATGTGGATATAATCAATTATTCAAAGGTATTCTTCCCTACCTTTGTACATTACAAGTAATAAGTTTGATTTGACTAAACATGACAAAACTAGTGGAAAAACCTACCAATATAGGTTAGACTCTAAAAGCTATATGAATGAGTCTATAAATATATATGGTGCTATAAATGTACATTTCTAGACCAATGTTTGGAGAAATATATTCACTTATTTTTTCTCACACCCCAAAATATCGGGCTGGTTATACTCAAGATTCACTGGAGATGATATATCAAGACCACAGGCCCTCTTTTGACTTTTATCCCAGTTCAGGGGATCTGTGAATGGCCACATGGATTCAAGGTCACATTTGGTAATTATTTACTCTTTCTCCTGTTCATAAGGGTAGTAGAGAGCTTAGCAAATAAAACCATCATTTACTGGACATAACAATTCTAGTTCTAATTCTAAATCCTATTCTAGGATTTTTACATTGCCTGTTTTAACTCTCTAGGCATTAATTTGCAGTCTCTGTTTTTAAAAACATTCTTATTTTCCTACTCTTATTCATATAGTATAAGAGCTTTGCCTATAATCAGAAATTTCTTTCCTTTTTTTTTTTTTTAAAGATTTTATTTATTTATTTGGCAGAGAGAGACAGCGAGAGAGGGAACACAAGTAGGGGGAGAGGGAGAGGGAGAATCAGGCTTCCCGCCGAGCAGGGAACCTCATGTGGGGCTCGATCCCAGGACCCTGGGATCATGACCTGAGCCGAAGGCAGACGCTTAACGACTGAGCCACCCAGGCGCCCCTATAATCAGAAATTTCTAAAAATTAAAAAAAAGAAATTCTAGGAATTCTACTGCCCTTATCTACTATTTCAAAGAGAGGCAAAATCTGTATGCAAAAGGAGGCTTTATAAGAGATATCTTCATAAAATAAAAGCATATGATTCTGGGTTTTGCTTCTTTCTTTCTCCAGAAAGCTCAGAACTATTCTCTAAAGATGATTACAAAAAACACAAGAAAAGGCAATAATAGTTCTTTCTTTTTAAGAGCTGCGTGCTATGTGTGCCTGGATATAACTGAACATATTTATTGATAGGAGGGAAGGTAGGAGTAGACATTCCCCTTCCCACCACAGTATAGCTCTTTCTCTTTTTTTTTTTTTAAAGATTTTATTTATTTATTTGAAAGAGAGAGAGCGAGAGAGAGAACACAAGCAGGGGGAGTGGGAGAGGGAGAAGCAGGCTTCCCGCAGAGCGGGGAGCCCAACGTGGGGCTCGATCCCAGGACCCTGGGATCATGACCTGAGCCGAAGGCAGACGCTTAACAACTGAGCCACCCAGGCGCCTCTATAGCCCTTTCTCTTGTAACTTGTTCACCCACCACTTCTGTGCCTTTATTAACTAAACCTAGAATGTTTTCTCCCCCTAGCCTATATAATTATATTTTGTCTGATTTGACTATATTGTCCCTGGACAGTGTTCATAACTTGAGCCAATGACCATCTCCCCTCTGTTTTTATTAAGTAGAATATGCTACTGTGTAACATCTGTGCCCTCTAAACAAACACAGTCTTTCTTTTCTGAGGCATCTCTTTAAAGATTTGCTCTTGGGGGTGCTTAGGTGGCTCAGTTGGTTAAACATTCGACTTTTGATTTTTGCTCAGGTCATGATCTCAGGGTCCTGGGATCAAGCCCCACATCAGACTCTGCACTCAGCGCAGAGTCTGCTGGTCCCTCTCCCTCTGCCCCTCCCCCCGTTTGTACTTTCTATCTCTAAAATAAGTAAAATCTTTTTAAAAATAAAAAATAAAGATTTGTTGTCAAAAATGCTTCTTAATACCACCCAAATTCTAATCTAATCTAATCTAATCTGAGGAAAAGAACTCAAATTTAACCTTATGTATAGTGGTCATTTCTCTCCTGTTTCGCCTCAGAGTGTCCCCAGTCCCTTTAATCTCTAGCGTTGCCACTGGAAATGGAGAGACTTAAATGGAATTCATCTCTTCTAAATCCATAGACAGTCAAATATAAGAGTTATTCAATAAAATTGACTGGCATGAATATTCTAAACAATAATATTGTGTGGTTTTTAATATATCACCCAGCTGTGGAACATTTATTTACTGAACTATGCAAAGAAACCTTTTAATAGTGTCACCATCACCATGAAACAAAGTGAACCCAGTAAGATTTGGATTACAGAGATACAACTGATGAGAAATCACAGCATCAGGTTTCTAGTCCACTGAAGTTTCCAGTGAATCAGAGTATAATGTGCAGACTT